TGCTGTATGCCATAGTCCAAGTGACTATCACCCTCCCATTTACATATTGAAAACCTAACTCTAAGGTGATGGTGTTAGGAGGTAAAGACCTCTGGGAAGTGATTTTATCAGTGGACAGCATCTTCATGCAAGGGATTAATGCTCTTATGAAAGAGACCTGAGAGAGAGAGAGAGAGAGAGAGAGAGAGAGAGAGAGAAAGAGTGCTCTACTCTTTCACCATGTGAGGTTAAGGTTATAAGCCCCCGAGTCTATAATATTTTGGCAGCAGCACCAGTAGATTAAGACCCTCTACAATCCCATTCACATGACATTCTTGGAAAAGGAAATCTTTAGAAAACAGATCAATGGTAACCAGATGTTAGGGGTGGGGTAAGGATTTGACTACAAAGGGTAACACAAGAAAAAAACTTAGTGTACTGAAATTGTACTATGGTCATTACATGAATCTATGTATTTGTTAAAACTCTTAGAACTATATGCTAAAAAGTCAACTTTGCTTCATATAAAAAAATTATTTTCCAGTACAGGTTTTAAGCATGCTAGGCAAGTGTTCTACCACTGAGCTACATCCTCAGCCCTACGCATGTAAGCTTTTTGGAGTTAAAAAAGAAAAATAAACTTTTAAAAAAAAAAACTATGGTGAAATTGGGTATGGTGGTGCATGCCTGTAATCCCAGCACTCTGGAGGCTAAGGCAGGAAGATTGCCACAAGTGCAAAGCCAGCCTGGGCTACATAACAAGACCTTGTCTCCAAAAATAATAAATAAATAAATAAATTTATTCTAACAGAATAAAATGTATTAAGTTGGCAGAGCATAAAGCTTACAGGCCTTCTTGCCATATAATTCATTTGTCAGTCTCTCAGGAATTGGTAGGAGATTTATATAAATGAATAAAAGCTATAAATATTTTCTTAAACATCTTTAATAGCTTTCCCTGGAAATATAGACGCTAAATGCTTTTTAAGCCAAGATTAGCTATTAGGAACTGGGTACCTAATTATTGACAGCTACACTATTTTTATATCCTCATGAAACCCTTGTTATTATACCTCACCCAATTTATATAAAAGAGAAAAAGATTTCTGTTGACAAGGCATCTGATTTGAAACATATTCAAACAAGTCAAATATATATTATTTGTAAGAGCAGTACATCAACCCCTAAAATATATACTAACTACTCGGGGAAGGGAATGTCCATCCACACTTTTATTTCTTTCTCTCTTCTTTATTAGCCTTGCCTCAGACCAGGAGTAACTAATCTGCCTGTTCAGAATCTGAAGTCCTTTGGGTGAAACTATGTCACTGAGATGGCCTCAGGTAAGGACAGGGAATACCCTGACATTCTCTTCCATACGTTGTCAAATTTAATACCATTGCCCAGTGGTCTCTCTTCCTTCTTCCACTTGGACTTTGTTATAAAAAGGTCAGAATGCCTCGATGTGCCCCCCATACACACCACACACTCACACACACACACAACCAACAGCACCACATGGGAAGGCCATGCCCCTCTTGTCATTACTTCCTTGGCCTCTGCATGGAGACTCTTTCCCTGACCACAGACTAAGTACTCCGGGTCAGTTTAGAATTATGAGTGGAACCAAGAGTGGTGGCGCACGCCTGTAATCACAGCACTCGGGAGGCTGAGGTAGGAGGATCCTTGTGAGTTCAAGACCAGCCTGGGCTACAAAGTGAGCTCAAGGCCAGCCTGAACAACATAGTAGAGACCTTATCTCAAAAAGACCAAAGAGAATAATAATTATGCGTGAAGACAAAAGCACTTGTCCGCACTGGCCCTGTCACCTTCCAGCCTTCGGCGCTGGTCCTGTGCTTGTCAGTCTTCTCCCATTTCTTCTATGAAGCTTTCCCTGTCCCTCTGGGCAGATGCAGCAGGAGAAATAAAGAAGCACAGGAAAAGGTAGCCAGGGGCCTCACTTTAATCTCTAGTCTATGCCTTGTGCCCCAACCTGGCTGAACCTTCTGTCCAGGCCTGGGCCTCTATTTCAGTCCTTACAGAGAAATCCACAGGCTTTATTCTTCATTTAATTCATTAATTTCACATAACTCCCATAGGTGCAGGAAGTAAGTGATAGGTTCCACCTATCTAGATCCTTAAAAAATTAATAGTCATGACCCTTACCTTGAAGGAGTTTAAAAAGCAGTTTGCATAAAATTAAAATCCTCCTAAATTACAATGTCTGATAATGAGAGAGGAACAGCACAGAACTGAAGTGCCTGCCCTATACGGAGAAGCCCCCAGAGATCTTCTCCAACTTGAGCCCCATTCCCTATACTCCCAAGACTAACTGCAACAAGAGACTGCGAGTATATTTTGTAGGTGTGGTAAAAGAGAATTCCAACTATACATACAAAGTCTCAGCCCACTTCCTCCTCATGGCCTTGGATTTCCGCACTGTGATGTGCATTATGAATCTCTATCACCGTCATCACCATCCACTTTTGCTTTTAAGTGAGCAAAGAATGATTCAAAGCCAGGTCAATTAGCTGCGGCAGGGCCAGAACTATACCTCAGGCCTCTGGGTTACTTTTGTTACAAAAGCTACAATGTGATGGGAAGGGCACAGTGACCATTGACCCAATTTATGAATAGCCCATTGCTAACATTGTTATTTGAAGCCGTTTGTTAGTTTCGGAGCGATCTTAGCATATAGTTTGTTCCCTCCCTTCTTGAGCGTGCCATTAGCGTAGAGGAAAGTGGTGGGAAAGTTTTTCTCTTAACTGTCTGAATTGCCCGATACAGAGACTTAGAAGAGCAATATGCTAAAAATGCGAATGTAATGTTAAAAATCTAGCGGAGTTTAAAAAAATCCTTCACCCAAGTTTCTTTCAGAACAGTACTACAGTGTTATTAGAAACATCCAAGCAGGGCCGGAGAAATAGCTGAGTGGCGCAGAACCTGCCTGGCAAGCGTGAGGTTGTAGTTGAATTCCTGGTACAAAAAAAAAAAAAAGAACTTACACATGAGAAAAGAAAATATCCAAGCAATTCACAGGGAGGTAAATTGACATAATATTTTTAACATCCTGTTCTTATTGCTCCCAAAATGCTTGTAATTTTTCAAGAAAACCTCAAAATTGAAGAAACAATTCAAAAAAATTTTCACAGGTTTCTTTACCTATCCCACGCTGGCCAGTGTATGCCAGCTTCGGTAGTTATGAATCGTGTTTACTCTCCCACGCCGAGACAAACCCTAGTACCAAACTTGGGGGTGAAATAAGAAAAGCAAAGCGCTGTCCACATGGCTGTATAAACAGCCCCATCCAGAAATTCACCGCCTGTTCGCTACACCGCTCTGCACCCAGGGTCGCACTTGTGGAAATGCCAGATAACAGCCCCGTCACCCTAACATGGACACCGCTCTCTCCTCCCAGGAGAATTGCCTCTGGCTGCATCCGACCTCCAACCAAGAAGCAGCTACCCCTAAATTCAGTGAGGCTGGTGAAGGACATTTTAGGCAGGAGGTGAGGTCAGACAAGTCCAGCTCATCCCAGAAAGACTATCTGGAATCAGCCTCCTGGGGGTGAAAATAGGGTCTGCAGTTCTCATTTCCCAAGGTAAAGGGAAGATCAAATGAGAGAGCAGTATGGGGGTGTCAAGTGCTTTATAAATGCAACAAAGACCAGGGGTGTTTGTTTGTTTAGTTTGTTTGTTCTCCTAAACGCACTGATCCTGCGTGGTTGGGTGTCCTGCGGTGCCTAGACCGCCCTCTTCCTACCCCTTGAGTTATCTGGGACGGTCAGGGGGACTTTGCACTTTCCCTCTAGCTCCTCCAAATGTCACTACCTGTGGTAAGCCTCACAGCAGACAGAAACTCAATCCTTTTTGGTCAGGCAGCATCTGGAGCAGACGGGGAGAGAGCTGACTTCCTCTTCTCTAGTTTTGCTAATCGAATTTTTTGAAACCAGATTCAATTTTTTCTTTCAAAAAAAAAAAAAGAAGTGGATTATACTCTTTCTTCCAGGCTGTTTGTGACCACGGCAAGTGCAAAGCAGCCTTTCAGGTCTAAGACCTGCACCAAAGCTAGAGTTCTAGCCCCTCACTCTTTCCCATTCCCCGTTTTCCACAGCAGACTTTCATGGAGGGAGAGACAGACAGATAGGCAGGCAGACAGACAGTCACACAGAGAAAGAGACAGAGAGAGACAGAGAGACAGAGAGAAACCGAGAGACAGAGAGAGACCGAGAGACACAGCGACAGACACAGACAGAAACCGAGACACTTTCCAACGTCCAGACAGAGCCCTGGTTAACCCCGACCACGCCTCCCCTGCTCCAGACCCAGCCTCCGGCCGACGCACACCCAGGTTCTGCACCCAGGGGCGCGCACCCGGACGCGCACGCACGCACCCGCCGCCCAGTGGGTCAACAGCGGGCGAATCTGACTCTTTGCCAACTTGTAGTCACGGACAGCAGCAAAGGGGCCGAAGACCTTCGCCGCCGGTTCCAAAAACAACACTGCAAGCGCCCGCGGCGCCGCAGTAGCAGCCTCTGCTGCAGCCTGGGTCGGAGTTTCGGACCCGCCTGCTAAAGCAGGATCTTTCCTCTGCCCTTCGCCCCGTCCCCCGGCTGCGCCCACTTAGCCTCCTCGTCCTCGGGAGGCCACGAGGAACAGGGTCACTTAGCCACTTCTGCGGAGGGGGACGAGAAGCGAAAGAGGTTCCCACGAAGCAGCCGGAGGCACGCTCCCTTCCGCCCGCCGAGCTGCCCTGCTCCTGGCGAAGGTCCCGGTCCCCAAGGTCCCTGGGCTCCGCCGGGGCGGGACGGGGCCGAGCAGGGGCTGAAGGGTGTTGGAGGACAGATGGGGCGGGACTGGGGAGAGGGCGAAGGAGACGCGCCGAGGCTCTGCGGGCCCCGGAGCCCCGGCTGAAACTCCAGAACGCGGAGAGGGTCCGAGGCAAAGGCCTCGCTCCTCCTCCCGTCCCCCGCCTCCCCACTCCCGCCTGGACACCTGGTGAAAAGCGAGGTGCGGGGCTACCTGGAGCGAACACCATGACGCCTGCTGCCGCTGCGCCCCGGGTCCGAGCGCGGGTGCCGGGGCGCGGTGGGCGCGGCGCGAGCGC